CCACCAAAAAATAATAATAATGAGGAATAATTTGGAAACTTTGTCGATACTCTAAAAGGTAAGTTAAAATCCTAATAATATTCTAGTTATGTTAAACGCGGTAATACAAAATTCCTAAGAATCATATGCCTCAAAGAAGTGTGATGTTAGAGGGATAGTATTTCACGTGAACAAATGCATGTGGGTTCAGGGCAAAATGAATAGATGGTCTTTTACTCTCCTTCCTAGTTCCTCTATTTTAATATTGTTCTGTATTCTCCATCATTTTTTTATTTGCTCAACTGCCCCCCCCCCCCGCCAAAAAAAAAAAAAAAAACCATCTTTTCGCCATTGTCATCATAAATGGATTCAAAGTCGATATAAATGAACAGGAAGTCAGCCTACGTCCATAGTTATTGACATAGCAGTTAATGCAAATGCTTTAGGTACCTCAAAAGAGTTGCATCTATATGTAGCCAGTTCTTAAAAATAAACTTTAAACAGGTTGCTGATTTGAAATGCTTTAAAAGCCTCAACTAGTTTAACTTTGGTCTAGAAATCAGATTGACACGAATTATTTGTTCCCAGCCCAAAAGTTCTTGCAAGAACGTTAAGTCCCTGAAAAACAGGACTACCCAAACCTATATTTTCAGCTAGAGTTGCCTGGTCATATTCACTGATAATTGCACAAAGAGAGATCAGTTTCAGGAGCTTGACATAGAATCAGTAATATCCAATAAATAAGATCATAAGAACAATACTATCAAATAGATAAGAACAGAAACATATTAAAGCTTCGAATACAAAAAAGCTTAACCATAGAGAAAAACTTATGACAACTCAGAAGAGGATAGCTAAGAAAACAAGAAGCATACCTAGGACATTTATGACATAAACCCTCTCCATCAAGAGTGCCTTCATGTCCTTGCAAAATCTTTCAACTTGAAAAAAAATCTTTTGGGCTCCATTAGATCTAAACAGAATGTAAATACATATTAGATGTCTTCAATACCTGAAGTTACCCACAAACTTTCACTGACAACAGTGAAAATATGGAGTGTTTTGCATCTGAAGGAGCAACGAAACCTATTGTTCTTATTCAGTGATTTCTTTTCAGCATATTGCAGGAGAACGAACAGCAGAAACAAATAACCCTAAGCAGTTAATATTTACTGACAGCAAAAGGCAAAAAGTGGCTAACAGAGTGAGGTGTAAAGAAACCTAATGGGCTTCAAAAATGCTCATTCACTCATCTCCACAAGCGAAACCTTTGTATATCAAGTTCCTAGTGATAAGTTATAGACGATCAAGAAAGAACTACTGGTGTCAGCATGAAGTTTATTCCTATAAAAGAGCAGAGCCAGAGAAGGATTTCAACAAGTGCACACTGAAATATCTATTAAGTGTCCTGAGATTGTGTGTTTACGCATGTCCACATAATCATAAAGTGCCTAACAGGTAGATATTCTTTTAATAATGTTCAACGTCCAAAAGAAATTAGCAAGCCCAGGATTAAAAGTTAAAATAAATAATAATAATAATAATAATAATAATAATAATAATAATAATAATAATAAATAAATTTAGATCTATTTAATGAAAATGTTCCCAATCGAAGTATTTCTTTCTAGATGCATTAAGCAATCAGTATGAGTAGCAGAAAGTAGGGGTTTAAGATAACATACAACGGAACTTTTTTTGATGCTTCATTATCACTCCTGTCAGCACTAGTTGATACCTCAATTTTTAAATTCTCCCCATCTGAAATAGGAATCTGTTCAGTAGCTGCAAGGAAAAAGAAGTGAAAAATAAATATTCAATTTCAAAATAATTGATCTGCAATAGTATCAATCAGATTCTGAGAAAGCACTGTGCAAGAGAATAATAGGAGTTGGAGCTATAAATGATACCCAGTACCCAACAATTCAATCTGCGTGTTGGGTAAATCAACAAATGACAATAGTACTTGGACTGAATCCCTATAGGTTTGGGTCAAGTTTGTATATAAATCAGTTACTTATTTTTGAAGTTGAGATCATATATTATTCGAATACCAAGGATCCAAATACCCAACCAGCCATCAATGCATTATCTTCACTTCATTATGTCAGTGACAATTCTCATAAACCACATTAATAGGGCTCCATGTTCTCTTTATTAACATAGGAAGCAGGAAAAAAATATCATCTGCAGGTGGTTAGTGGGTGACTGATTTAAGCGTTTTCAGTTCTATTTTACCTCGCACGTAAGATATGAGCTTGCTTCCAATACTGGAAATACGAGAATATTTGTGATTTCCAAGAGCTTCTTGGTACGATATCTCTCCATATAACTTCAAGGTATTGCTGTCTGCATCTCTTCACCTTCTTCCTTATTAAACTAGACAATGGAGGGGAGTTTTACAAATGACTTTTAAACATAAAAAGTGAATCCTAAAAAGCACACATACTTGTTCTTAATATCTGCTTTTATTTTTTCACGCGCATGCTTTTCTTAACTAAGTGGAAGAATAAATTTGCTTCTGCTCTTTCATGCATGAGACTTCAGAGCTTCTAAATGGATGCTTTAGCTAACAAGTCAAAGGATTGAACTACTCATGTGGAAGGATCCAACACCTACTAGACTAAAGTTTGTAAATACTTAATTCGCATCTATGACAGTAAGTTGTGGGTCTACTACTTGCATGACTAATCGTTAAAACTCAATTTGGCATGCTCACTTGAGCAGCTTGATGTTCTACCAACAAACATTTACTAACAAGCACAACAAAACAAATATAATATGTTTTTTATTTGTTACCAATAAATATCCTCATCATCTCCAAACAAAACAAATATACTATGTTCTCCTTCAAGATAAGTAACATTGTTCGCCTTGTGGCTTCATTGAGGAAACTACTCGTGCTGATGCTAATAAAATTGGTTAAGTTCATTGCATACTAAACCAATTGAAATATGCTTATAAAAGTTAAAAGAGTGATCAATCAAGATATCAAGCTCAACTAAAGAAGAAAAAGCCAACTCAGTAAGGGTCTCAAATTAATTGAAAAGGTTAAGTTGGAGTTCTATTCAAGTTGGAGTTCTCCTAAAATTTACTGTTCCACAGTCTCTCGGTCTAACCATGTGTTGAGGATAAGGTTGCTTCCTATTGGTGTCCAATAGATGGGAACATGTGTGCTATGCAATACAGAAGTAGAAAGAAGAGATCAGTTGATTATAAATACTAATTTTCAGCATTTATATGTTTTTAAGGCCACTTCCACTACACAAGTAGAGATGAGGCTTATAATTTTATCCAACATTCCCCTGCGGATTGAGCATCCGTTTCATGGGCTGAAGCCTAGATTCGGAGTAGTATCCTTTTCTTTCTTAAATCCATTTTAAGTATGTGGCCAGGGGGATTTGATTCAGAGTTGTCCTGATACCATGTTAAAAGTCCCTTCCCCTACACCAAAACTCTGAATGTGAGATGAGAGTTGACAGTTATACACTTTACAATATAGCAAAGTGCCACAAATTATAAATTGCAGCTCAAACAAAGGAGAAGATACACCTCTCAAAAAATGCAGGATGGAAACAGGTTTAGTTGTTAGGTCTACCACAGGTAAAAAAACAATAGAACTATCTTTAAGAATGAGTTACTTCCCAAATTAAGCTCAAAGATTTTACTGCTCAAAAGACACAATGGTTATTGGGAGGCCATTTTGTTGAAATAAACAAATCATATAAAGAATGCATACACGCAAGCCTATGCCAAAGCATATGGAACTGGTATGAACTCCTCAGCTACAAAAAAAGATCAATGAGGTAAATGTCTAAGTATCATCACCTTCAACCACAGGAATAGTCATTTCGCCATATCCTTTTTCTTTTGGAGATTTGCACGAACCAAAACCTGCACATTTAAGTGCAAAAAACAAATTAACCAGCATATTCAACGCTAAATACAAGTATCATAGAAGCAACCTTGTACCTTTTAGCTCCAAAGGCTTCATGACTAAGCCTAGAATAGCAAAAGGGAGCATCAAAATCGACTCTCCCCAAAATGCAAAGCGCCAGTTTAGATTATTCCCAACCTGATATTAGCAAAATAAAACAAGCAACAGAGTCATCCACTTCCACACAAGTTAACCAATCACTATAAGCAGATAAACAAGTTTTTGAAAAAGTGAACCTATGTTTCATACCTTAGTTTTTATAATCTAGAAAAAAAAATCCATTTTTTCAGCTAACGAAGTTGTTCATGAAGTGCTCCACCAATTGTTTGGATAAGTTCAAATGCTCATTTTGATATTTTTTTTTTAAGCTTTAACACAAGAATATATCATAACCATCACTTATCGGAACAATGTCATGCGTCCAGAGGGCTAGCTAATTATGGAAACGATTAACAAAGTATTTGAACTGATGTTCATTGATAATTCTCATGCTCGACATCTAACATATCATAAATAGTTCAAGTTGACATTATTACAGCAGGCTATGTTCAAACTTTAAAGGTATATGATGGTGTTTAGTTTTTCTTTTTAAGAAGTACTTAACCTATGTGAATACTTATATCAAAGATATTTGATGATGTGCAACTATAACATGTTGTCCCATAGTTCCAATTCAGGCTATGTAAACAAACATAATTCTATAACCAATTTTTAATGCCATGATACATGATGGAGTACAACATCACCATCGACCAAGAGGGAAAAAAGGCCACACATGGAAAGTCTAAAATAGGATTATAATTTAAGTTCTTTCATGACATCCAATGTGGGTGAAGGGATAGAAAGACAAAAGACACATGTACCAACATCCATTATGATGAAAAAATAAAAAGAACATATGAATTACTCTTAAGATAATTAAGCTGTCAATGATACTTATAACTTAATTAAGGGGGCGTACATAGTTCCCTTGTTAGAGTAAGTTGTTAACCAGCCGAGAGAGCAACACAACATTTAACTAATGAACCAAACTGGTCATAGGAGTGGAGGTAAGACATTTCATGAACAATGAGCTGAGAACAGTGTTACCAGAATCAAGGTCTTGGGCCCAGGATCGGGATATAGGTACGGACCAATGGTTTAAAATCGACCGATATTATCGAAATATCGGCGATATATCGGGTTTTGACCCCTTCTGATACAATTTTTGGAAAAAAAATTGGTTATCATTTTCACCCGATTTTGGCAGATATATCGGCAAAAATCCGATAAATAGGCCGGTTTTTCAGCCAATAAATAGGCCGATTTCCTTGAAAAAAAACCAACTGCTTCATCATTCACCCAAAACCCTAATATCACAATTGAGAAGCAAGTTTCAACAATTGATTAGTGATCTAAACATGAGTTATTTACATTTAAGTATGTTTATACTTCATTAAATGTGATTTGAATCGTAGATTACATTTTAGAATATTATATTGTATATCCAATATGACACTCTGATTTTTACTACTTATCCCCGATATATCCCCAATAACCGGGACCCGATATGAATTTTGATTGTCCGATTTATTTCCGATAACCGATTTCTAAAACCTTGGTACGGATACATAAGCAACCTTGAAGAAAGCGCAGTATAATGGAAGTACGTTAACCAAATCGGGAGTCTAGTAATAGTAGGAGATGTAGTTCTAAGGTCATTTCAATAATTATGCATGTTATACATATATGTGCTTGTGCACAAAAAGAGAAGACATAAATATACAGTCAAAGACATGTATAACCAAGGATTGTAAGAACATAAACTTTCATGTTTTCAAAAAAGAAACAAACATTTTGTTTAAGAAACACGATCACAACATTTAATTAAAGTTCAAATTCTGCCTTTAAAAATCTAAGGTAAACCTCAAAAATTACAAACTAAGTCTATTAAGAAAATGCCAAATACTAGCACAAAACAAAGCGGAAAAGATCCAAGTAGTTGTTAGCTCTCTTGTTTTAATTTATTTTGTTCTTGGAAGTAAGCACAACGAGTTGGTGCTCATGACTTGGACTATGGTTCAATGGAGCTAAATTAATTTTAGGTACACTCATTTGATGTTAATAGTGTAGCATGATAATGATGGATCAGTCCCATAATTACACATTAATAAGTTAACAACAGAATTATCAAGTATGATGCAAGTTATGAACTAGAAAGTAGAAGAAACCATCAAAATTGTATGATTAAAGAAAGATGTCAGCGACCTCAATGAACCGCTGAGAAATTACATGCTGTTAAAATGCTTGCATGGTGCTGATTATGCCAATCACAGTCAGATAGATTTGAAGGATATAAACCGATTCAAAGTGAAACTCACCAGTCCACCATATACATAACCAACTGCAATTCCGGTCGGTATACACATGTAGAAGAGTGCAAGCCACGCTGTTTTCTGAGGCATAGAACAATATATGTAGCAGGATTACAGAAATAATTCAAAAAGGAATCGTAAATATGTGAAACACAGACACTGTATATACTACTGAAAAGTAGTTGGATAATACAATTACAGTTATTATTATGCACTAGTGTGCACCCTGTGTAAAGGACGACCCCCTAATTTTTTAAGCATTGCATTTTGAAGTCTCCCTCTAAGTTTTAATACATTTGATTTAATTATTGTATGCTTAACATTAGAAATCATATATACTCCTCTATACTTAATGAAAGATCCAAAATTTAATACATTTGATTTAGAAATCATATCTACTCTATACTTAAAGAAGAATCCAAGTTTTAATTCATTTGATTTGTTTTACTGTTTATGATACAGTAAAATAGTGTAGCATAAATAGTAACTTCAAGTATGGATTCTCCTTTAAGTATAGTATAGAGGAGTAGATAAGGAGGTTGACAAACGGAGGATCTAACCTTCCTAACCAGTTGTAGGTTGAGATTCAACCAGGTCTACTCGATGCACAGAAAGACCTAAGTACATGCTACCTGTTTAGTCTGAATTTCATGCATTACCATGGTCACTTTGCTTGGACGTAAGAAATACAACTTGCATTATTAGATTATCAAGTCTGCCAGTTATGCATGTAATGCAATTTAGCCTCATAGAGCAATTTAGCTTGATATAACTCGTTATTAGAGGTAGATCAAAAAAGATTCATGCATAGGCAGGTGAGAGCCGACCTCAGTTGGTTCGACACCAAGAGAAAAGCTCTAATTAAAGAGAAAAGGCAAAGATTGTATGTGCTGCTAAAGCATTAACCCACCATCAGCACAATCTCTCAGTATAAATGTTTTTTTCCTATATAAAACATGTCAGAGTGTACTTTGCTAGATTGATTGTAGACCTTCAAGAGTTGAATGGAGAAGAATACATGCAGCTGACCAAAGACCTTTGGATTATGATTTGTATTGCTGGTGCAAAAGGTAATGATGTAATATTCGCTTGTACATTTGACCAAGATAGCCAAGTTATAACTGACTAAGTATGTGTTGAGGCACTTTACTAGGCATTTGAATCATACTAAGTACTATCATACAAATTATAATTCAAATGAAGTGAAGAATATTTCTTTGGTCGCAGTACTGAACCCTTAATATATATGAAGGTGGGATATCATGCCTAGTGAAAGTGGTGCTCATCACTGACATTGCACCTGGAAACATTTCTAATGCTCATAAAACACCATGCTTATTGTATACAACATTTTATCTAGGTTTACAATGATAACGCTTGGCTTGCATAGGATTTGTGACATTGTTTTTGTTGTTTGAGAAACTACCTACTACCAAGAGAGGTTAGGCTACACACTTCCTGTCGAAAGTAAGAAAATAAGATTTAACACTTTCTACACCACATATTCAAATTCGCTCCATCATTATTTTGTTCCCTCATTGTCCCACTGTTCACCCTTTACAAGCTTCGGTAATTATCATTATCCCCATGGAAGAAAGTATAGGACATGCCTTAAATTTACTTATTTAACTTTTATAGATTTCAAAGGGATAGCACCACACAAACTTCCAAAGGGTGAATAAAGACAAGAAAATAAAAGCGGCGCACTAATGATGAATCTGTTTCAGCAAATATCAAAAAATAACTTTTTATCTTCAATAGAAGATTTAGAAGGAAAATTTTACATGGATGCACACACATATATATATGAAATAAAAAGTTTCTGCACTGAATATGAAAACAATTAAAGAACTATTCAGAATAAGTTCTTGGAAAAAAATCACTTCAAATTAAAAATAAATTTTTTTGCAATAATTGTGAATTGAAGGTCAGTTAGGTGGCAGCTAGATGTCCACATTGTCCGAAGTAAATAGTAAGATGAAGATGAGGTTTTGTATAGGACATTGCAGAGACACCTAGATGAATAAAAGTAGACAACAAAATAATAAAAGCAAACCTGAGCAACAGGGGCATTATCATCAATAAATGGTGCAGCAAGACTAATGAAAGAAGCCTCACCAACACCAACTAACCTGAAAAAGGAATGAACCAGCTATGGGCTTCTGGCTTAGTTATAATTTTACAGTTCAAAGTCAACCGAAGAGAAATACTTACATGCGGCAAATTGTTATTGACCAAAAGTCAAACGAACACCCACAACCAGCTGTAGCAATAGTCCAAAACAAGAGCCCAACTCCAATAAGCCTGAATGGATTGTGGCTGAAAAGAGACGATGAAAATTCAACAAATCAATTACATAGAAGCAAATCTTCCAACCTCCGCAAAGTAAGAACAATAATATTTCAAGATCTTTATTTATTTTAGACTGAGAAACAAAAAAGGACATGTAAAGCTCAGAATGAGAAGTTATAGGCAGAGTAAAAGGTAGTAATATCTCTTAACAAAGAGAACTCGAATGTGCATTTTACTAAAGAAAGAGTTACAAGTCATTAATACTCAAAGAAAAATGGCCCACACAGGGGGGAAGTTTTGACCTGTTAGGCATCATTTGCAGGCTTGAAGCAGCACTGATATAAAAAGGAACACACTGGATGGGAGAAATGAGAATACAACCTTACCATAGACCTTCCAATAATGTTTCAGAATTCCTACGTAACATGAACACTTTTATTACCAAGCTTTATTTTTGTTGGACAAGTGTTGAACATAAAAAACTAATTGAACACTTCTTGGTCGCATCTCAGACACTTTCAAAGCACACTGAGTTTACAGTATTATTTTACTTAGGAGACTTTTTAAGGCACTTCTCAGATATACCTATGACACATTTTTATGATATTAAAAAATAAAATATTTAGTCCATACTATTTGCAAGTTGAGGGTATGCACTGTCCTACAAATCTTAATAGCCATATTTTCTTTTTCTTTTTTTAAAATTATGACTTATATAAATTAACAATAAAATTAGGATATGTTTCACTGTCAGAATTGAGATATATTAAGTTATTCAACAAAAAGATGATGAGTTGAATGCCTATTACCAGTTCAAAGTCATAGACTGTATGTGAATATATAATTCAAAATGTACGTGAAAATTACATTTTATAGTATTACATAAAAGCCTAAAGATTGTATTTCATGAGCGTGTGTCAGTGTATGAATTTAATTGTTGAAGGAATATACGTATACGTTGATGTGTTTTTCTTCTGTTGCTTGTACATGCTTGTAGAAAAAGTATTGTGGTGTTGTTGTGTTGCCCTATGGCCCATATCATACTCTTTAAGGAATAGCTATGTCACTTATCCGTTCTGTGTTGTATCTGTGTCCTGCTTCTTAGAATAATTCGCAGAAATCAAATATTTCAGAATAAAGAAGAAGGAACATAAACTACCTAGGCCCTTTTTCCAACCCCAACCATAATGCGCAAGAAAAAAACTACTAATCTCTAAAAATTAACTTCGACCAGAGTATAAAATCAACCAAATTGCATGACTTCGCTAAATCAAACTAATAAAAAAAATGTTGAAATCTCAACGAAGCAAGTACCTCTTCGCCAAAGATGCAAAAATCGGGGAAGCCACTAGAAGTCCAACCATGAATGCAGACGACAATACACCGTCCTTAAAATTATTTAGATCAAAGTCCCCTCTGCAAAAACATCGAATGTTAAGCAAACAACAGAAAGGACATTGCCAAACAAATTACATGATGCTTTATTTTCGCACAAAAAAAAAATTTAATTGCCCAAATCATATGATGGGCATAAGGGTTAATTGCACTTTTACCCTAAAGTTCCATCAATTTTGAACTTTGATACCGTGAAGTTTAATTTCGCCCAAATAATGGTGAAGAAAAGGAGGGTATTATAGTTAAAAAGGTTAAAACTTTGGGGTAATATTTGATGCAAATTTAAAATTTAGGGTACCAAAATTAAAATTTGATGAAACCTCTTAAGGTATTAAAGTGCAACCCTGCGAATAATTGGTATCTGATAATTGACGTAATCCCATAAAATCCTAAGCTTCATCTTACTGAATCCCGCTACCAGAAGTGCATATTCCCCCATCAGTGCACGTTCCCCGAGACCCATTGACGCCATTGCTAGCTATTGCTCCACGGTCAACGTAATTTATCATGTTAATAACACAAAATATCACGAGTAACCTACAAAATTAACACACAAATTACTAAAATCGACAAATTTGAGTAAGTTAAGAAAGAAAATCGAACGTCTTCCTACCTCTTCGGCGTGAACCAGGAAGGGTTAGGGTTAGGGCTGATTTCGGAGTCCTCGGAAAGTGTGATCGCCATTGAGCCGGCGGTGGCGGGAGAGGTTGCGGGAGCGGCGGCAGTCTCCGGCGATGGTTGATGTAACTCGGACGAATCCTTTTCGGTTTCGCCCATAAACAAAATCGACCGAGTTTTAGAAGAGAGCGATCAAGATCGGGTGTCTTTTTTTGTTTTTTTGTTTTTTTTTTGTTTTTTTTTTTTTTTGTTTTTTTTGCCGGAAGAAGAAGAAATCAGAGGAGTAGAGATGAGGTTGTTCGGTTTTCGAAGGGACCGAATATGCTGGGATTTTATTTCTTTTATATATTTGCTTTTTTTTTAATTAAAGGAAATCTTTATCATTTTTTTGGGGTTTTTTATTACTAAACCCAAAGTTTAAAACTGAGTTGTCTTTACGTCCAAAGCTCTGCCATAATTATTGTAAAAGTCAAAAAACAGAGTGAAATTTTTTCAAAGTGTGTATTTGGCAGACGTTTAAGGTTAGCTTATAAGCCACGGTGAGTTTAGCTTATAAGTTATAATCCATCATAAAAATATGTTAGGATATCTTAGTTTATTTTTTGGTGTAATATAAGTATTAGTCTGACCAACTAAAAAATAATAATTATGCCCCTCGTAATTTCACAAAAATTCAATACTTTATTTAATAACTCATCACGAGTCTTATATATTTTTTTATCATTTTGATAATGATAAAGAATGATAATCCGTCCATTTGCCAAATATTATACTATTGTGATGAATTGTAATCTACTACATTTATCAAGCGCTATAGATCGTAATTCGAAATTTTTAAACATACTTTAAACTATACAGCTAAGTGGTCATTTTATTTTGGATCTAAAATTCAAAGAAATAACCATAATACCAGGCAACACGTATCATTAGCTAACAAAAAGGGGGAAATGTTATCTTATATATTGTAGTTGGTTCCATAGGTTTAGATCTAAATGAAACCTCTCCTCCTAATACAACTAAAATAGATAATTCAATGGAGGATCTCTCGTGTTTAACAATAATTGCGAAGTGGATGTGTCCCAAAATAAGTCAGTATGAACTTTGGGTTTAGTATAAAAAAACCAAAGAGAAACCCAACACTTTTATTTTTATTTTGTTCTTCTTCTCTACTTAGCGGCCCCACGTACAAATCAGGTGGGCCCCGCAATTGTTGTTGCAAACGTAACTTTTGCACGTGCTAACCATATTATTGTAATA